AGATAAATAAATAAATTAGGAAATATTCTAGAGCAACATTAGCACGAAAAGTACAGTGCTAAACAATAACAAGAATAATAATACAAGAATTATTCTAGAATGGGTAATATTTCAAGGGTAAATGCTAGTGAAAATCGGGCAAGGGGTAGTGATGATCTTGGGCGAAGATCAAGTGTAACACTAGAAAACAAGTCTATAGAAACAATTTATCAATTGCTTGAGTTTTGATAGAGTTGAAACTTTTTAAAGTTTATCACTTTTACTAATAAAAGTAAGAATTTGGCTGGCTAAATCTAATCACATGACATGTAATTAAGGATTATAATTGGTTAGATCATGTAAACAACTTATTAATGCTGTGATTGTCTAAGAGGAAATTATATTTAAAAAAGACAAGAGAGTCGAAGAAAGAAAAAGATCAATAGCAGGAAGTTAGTAATAATAGGTTTGACAATAGTAAGATTAATAAGTTTGATGGTATTATAAGGCAACTATAGGCAATTCCAGAAGAAACTGCTTAGCGGCCACTTATATACCTTGGAAATTCTGTAAGAACAAAGAGATAACAAAAGCAAATGCAGCGAGAGGCTACAGTTAGAATGCACAAGATAGAGTCCTTTTGGTCACCAGTAAGTTACTTTTCAAACTATATATAGTTCATAGTATTTATTTAACTTGAAGTTTATTTTTTTGAATACAAAGGTAATTGCAAGTACAACAAATATCAACGTCACTAATTTGGAGAATAATCACAGCATGGGAACTGAGATTGTCAGAGATTACAATATTATGTCTCCCGGAAACTTAGTTAATATCATTATATCACTAGTTAATGAAGTCGAGAGTAGTAAAATTACAAAAGTGGAAAAGGTTCGTCTTCATACAATATTAGCTTACCTTCGTTTTGTGAAATGTAGCAAAAAAAAAATTGAGGCAAGTACTATCATAGCAGAAGCAACTGAAAAGAGTATTCATCATGTCCATTCCATACAAATATGAACAACAAATTACATCCAGAATGGTATATTTTTGATCCTGTGACAAGGAAAGCATTTAAAAGTATAAAGTTTTTTATGAAATGATAATATATTGCTACAGATCAAATCTTTTCTTCGATTGAATAAATGGAATGTTATTTCAAATAATCTGACGAAACATATAAATGAGGAAATACTTCCAAGTCTTGGTTTCGATCCATCACCGATGATATATGTAAAAATAGTGTGCAAATGGCTAGTAGAGTTTGGATTTGAGTATTCAGATATTAAGAAAGGAATGTATATGGATAGACATGTATGTCCTGATATAGTGGCTTACCATACGAAATTTTTAGAGAGGATGGCAGGCTATGAAGAATGAATAATAATTTTCTCTGGTGAAGATATGAAAGAAGAAATCCAGCTGGCTGCTTGTCAAATTGTGATTTTGGTAACACACGATGAATATATTTTTTTCGCATATGATGAAAGACGTCAATTATGGATGCCAAAGAGGAAACAGCCACTTTGTAAGAAAGGCCAGGGACGATTAATTCATCTAAGTGATGTTTAATATTACATGAGGAAGACAAGATACATATGTTTTTGCTTCTTACTTTAATTGATCTTCTATAATAGGGGTGAAGCTAATTAAAATTTGTCTTTAGACTGCTTTTCCCAATATTCTGACAGAAGCATGTGTTATAACACACACAGGAAAAAACGGTAATAGGTGGTAGAATTCAAATAACCTTGTGGATCAAGTAGTAAACTGTGCAATTTCAATATTTGAAACCTGGTTTCCAGGTGCAAAGGCACTTTTTGCATTTGATAATGTTACTAGCCATGCTGCATATGCTGAAGATGCTCTTTTAACACAAAAAATGAATTTATCACCAGGTGGCAAGCAACTGAAAATAAGATTCATATAAACTAGTAGATTTTCATTTTATTAATATTAACTTTAATACAAATGTTTAGAAGCATTACATATGGAAATAATATTTGTCAAGATATGTATTTTTTCGATGGTAAATCAAAAGGGATAGAGATAGTTTTAAGGAAAAGAGGATTGTAATGTAATGGGATGAAATTGAAGTGTAAGGGTCAATATAAGAAAGAAAAAATTGATTGTTGTGTCAGGATGGTAATGGCAAGTCAACCAGATTTCAAAGCACAACGAGGGATGCTTGAAGAGACAATCGTTACTGCAGGTCATAAAGTTATATTTATTCGAAGTTTCATTGCAAGCTAAATTATATTGAAAACTTTTGGGAATCAGCAAAACGGTATTCATGAAATTACTGTGATTACATATGGAAAGGCTTGAAAAGAACTGTACTACAAGCTCTTGCATCAGTATCACTTAGTGAAATTAGATGGTATTCTCGAAAAGCTTTTAAGTATATGAATGTGTATTGTAAAGGTCTAATAGGAAAACTGCTGAATATGCTGAAAAGAAGTATCGATCACATCGGCATATTCCAGATTCAATTTTACTTGAGATTAATGTAATAGAAGACTAATATATTGTTATGGTCAAAAAGAGGATCATGATAATATGATACGTGTCACATTACATAATTAGTGTTGTTGTGAGAAGAACAATGAAAAATTAGTATTGGAGAATTTAAAGGTGGGAATTTCTAAAATAGTATAGAACAAGTGATCAGATATAAACATGTAAATAATAGATGCATGTATAAATATATGTGCAGTTCAGTAGCATGTAGAGAGATTTTTGGAGAATAAGAGTTAGTTAAGAATGCACTAACATTTAGTTAATAAAGTTAAGTTTGTAAATAAACTCTTATCTTGTGTTTAAGTGTACCAAAGACTATGAGAAAGAACCGATGGTTGCCTAAGGGAATTGATATAGGAAAGGTTCTAGGTTGGTCGATAGAGAAGTTAAAGTGAGAGAACAGCCAAATTAAAAACATGTTTCAAGAATTAGAAACTTATCTTATTGTGAACCGGAAATATTGACTAGTAGCACTAGCTGGACGAATAGCTTGTGACAATATATATTTCTTCTAATTGTTTTATTTTGCAAAAAATAAAAATCACTTTAATCATGACATTTTAAAAATATATCAAAAATGATATTATAATTGATCAATGCCATCGCTATATAATATACTATTATTGTTATTCTTGATATTATAAATCACGATGATGCAATAATTATGGAGATTACTGTATAATCAGCATGAGTGCAATGATATTATTGGTTATGTGAAAGAACAAATGCATCAAAACAGAGTGTGATATCATAA